ACATGGTATTATTGAGTCTTGAAACTTGCTAGATTGGGAGAAAAGGGGCAATTTAAGCCGCGAATTTGAGGAGGTTTTCAAGGTTTTTGGAGTTGTGTGTTCAAGCCATTGCTTGGGGAGCACTTGGAGGAGTCCTAGGCCAAGCTTGTGAGTATATTTCAACACATTTCATGGAGTGAATCATGAATTTTAATTTTGAAACCTAGAGCATGTGTTGTGTGATTGATGTAGTTAGAGAGCTCAAATTGAAATTGTGTATTAGATAAAAGTGGCTTAGAATGATATTTTAGAGTGATTGATGTTATAAAAATTATTGGTGAAATTTGAGTTATAACTTAGGAAAATTTGGGTTGAAATGCCATGACTTTGTGGAATTGAGATGTTATGTGATTGTGTAATTGAGTTGTTGAGAGTTTGTATGAGTTAATAGTAGGATTGTATGATGTGTGGAAATGTTGAATTGAATTGAATAACCTTTGGTTGGGGAGCATGATACATTCGGCCAAGAGAGGGATATAGGGGTTGGATGATGAAAAAAAATTATGTAATTGACGTGTTGTAGTGTTAAATGGTATTTGGAGGCGTTGTGTGATGAATTGATGCATGGAAAATTAAAGAAAAAATACTTGGAGTGTGTGTGATGTGCATTTGAGCCTAGAACGTAATAATGGGAAAAATGGTGTTGTGATGGTGTAGGATGGAAAATGAGACTTGAAATGGGGTTGTGGTAGCCTTAGGATGCTAAGGAAAAATTAAAATAAAATTAAGAAAAATATTTTGTAAAATTTGCCTATGGTGGCTGAACCTAGATAGTGGAAGGGGGGATTTTGGTGCTTTGTAATCATGTTGATTGCACCTTATATTGATGATCCTTGTGTGATCATTGTAGGTTGCCTCCCGCGGAATTGAACTCGAAACCTTGAGCTTGGTGGGTCGCCTTTGGTCCCTGACCAAAGGGATTTTGGTAAGTTGGCTTGAACCTATGCATGTATAATTGAAAAACTTGCATATATCTTGGTTGGTTGTAATTGAAATGGAAATGGCATATGTTTAGGCATTTCGTGTGAACCAAGCTCGGTGATACAGTGAATTGGAGCTATCAAGCGAAGGAGATTATTCAGGTAATCCCTTGGTACTGGGGTTTGATCCCTGTGTGTGCTCCACCATGCCTCTTGAAGGTAGTGGTTGAAGGTGTATATTAGTAGTATAGTATAACATGATCATGCATATTGTATGTATAGTGGTACATAGGATGTATCGAGTCTCTGACCAGTAGATAGTCTGCCTTCGGGCGTTACGGACTTCCACTGGATAGGTCTCCATGAGGGAGTTCCAGTTGACCTGGGATCATGGTGTGTCATCCGTAGAGGAGCACACTAGGAAGTCTCGGGTGTATATGGATGAAGGGTGCCTTGGTTGATGTTCCGGGAATACTTTTTTGCTTTGGAACTCGCAGGCTATATGCTGAGGCCACTAGGCCGGATGTTGCGTGGTATTGGCATCGACCATTCCAGCTTCATCGTATTTTGTTCCCTATGCTTCCCTACTTCACTAAATTCCTTGCTTTATCTTGTTTTAATCTATGCAGCACCGATACTGACACGGAACACGTGACACGATACGACACGACACTCCGACACGTCAATTCTAAAAAATGTTAGATTTCGACACGTTAGGACACATTTTGATATTAAATAATATTTTAATTTATGTAGTGTATATTATATTTAATGTTCAATAATTTAACAAAAAATGAAACTAAACTTATAATATTCATCAATTTTGCAAAGAAACATAAGATATTCCAAATATTTATATTAAACTCAATAAAATGGTAATCGTAATCCAATGAATCTAATAGTTGGAACTAAAAACTCAACGCAACGCAACCTTTTTTTGAATTTCTATAACGCGTGTTAGAGTGTCGAAGTGTCAGAGAGTGTCAGAAAGTGTCGAACACGACACGTCAGGGTTTTTGAAGTGTCGGTGCTTCATAGGTTTTAATGTTGTATTATATTATTGATATGCATCGAAGTGAGCCATTGGGCGAAGTAATCTGTAGAACCTCTGGGTTACTGAGATATATTCGTATATCCCACCCCGCTTTGGGGATTTTATTTCAGGTAGTGCCAATGGTGTTGGAGCGGCGGGCAAGAGGCCCGTAGGATGAGCTTGGACATAGGCTTGTTTTGCATTTTGTGGCCGTTGGGCCTAGGCTAGACTTAGGTCATGAACAATGCATGTGATTCAGGATTATTGTTGTCATCTTTGTTCATGATGTATTTTATATAAGTTTAGTCTTTTATTGTCATGATTTATTTTGGAGAATTTATTATGTATCTATGAAGGACAATTGTAATAGTTGAAAAGAAGTTGGTAATTTGTAATTTGGAGACATTGTGTAATATTGAAGCATGTATATGATGAAAGGACAATAGGTCTATTCTAGGATTTGATTTATGTTTTATTCGAAGAAATGTATGCAAAGGAATTAATGTGATTGAAATAGTTTAAGAGTTGATAATGTAATTGCTAAGTTGTAAAGTGAACTCATTGATATAAATTGTAAAGCACCAAGGCATTGCTGGTCCTTGAGTGCCACCCATGTTTATTAGATACAAATTGAGATTAGATAACACACCTTCAAAGGTGGGATATGTTGGAAAAACAAAAGAGACTCTGACGAAATTTTTAGAAATTGACATAATTTAGGTGAACTTTGGGAGAGCATATCTCCCTCCACAAAAGTCCAATAGGGACATGTCATACGCCATTGTAAAGATTGGGATGTCAACTACCTCGTGTCAAAATTTGAGAACCAAAGGAACATCACGCTGCCCTGTAGAATCCAGAGAGCACGAACTGCTCAATACGCCCCTGCACATGGGGCTGTCTCTGGCAGTTTTTGGGAAATTTATTCCCGCATCGTTTCTTGGTCAAATTAGGTGCATGATATGTAAAATTAAAGCTTGAGGTGTCTAGTTTACTTTATAAGAATTTGAGTGCAATTTATTGAGTGGATTTTCCATAATCGCTGAGAGAGAGTGGGCTGTTTAGAGCCCTGTTTGAGGTTGGCTGACAGATTTGCTTGTCCAACTTCAAACGGTGATAACCGGAGCAAACGAGAACTTTATGACTCATGTGATAACTTTTTAGAAATATAATTAAGTGTAGAATATCATACTAAAAGATGAGAAGTGCGCGACTTGCAGATTTTCCGCAGTAATTAAAATACCGAACCATGTTCAGATAGGTAGAAAACGTAAAAGTGAAATTTAGGCTAAGTGGGTTTATGGGAACCCCTTAGTGACTTGAGAGGAGTGTTGTAGGATGTCTAGGCATGTTAAATTATTATTCCGCAAAGAGTTATCAGTTACGGTCACAACTTTTATTTATTACGCTTTATTATTATTTTAAATGCTCGCGTAATAAAAAGGAAAAAGTTTACTCGTATTTTTATAAATGAATTGCTGTGATTGTAGCTGTGCCTAATATCATAATCAATGTTAACAATACCGATAAGTAACGGGCTGTTACACTTTACTTATAAGAAGAGGATAAAGAAAGTGAAACAGTGGATCTCACCTACTTCCATATGAGTTATCTTACCAGAGAAACATTAATCCCATCTTTTTATTTTACGGTTTTAGTTGTATTTAACAAATAGAAATCATTTTATATTCACATCCTATTTTTTTAATAAATAATGTAATGAATATAATATTATTTTTTAATATTTATTTTTTCCCAAAAAGAATAAACAATAAATATCAAAATAAACTAAACATATTTCATAATACTTTAAAGGCTTTAATGTTTCTACCGTGAATGTAGATAAGTTATCTACATTCGCTCCCAAAACGACATCGTTTTGGGTTGAAAAATTAAAAAATTATAATGAAAAAGACTATTATAACCCTAAAATAAATTATAATAACAAAAATATCATGATTTTCGTCTCAAAACGACGTCATTTTGGGCTCAATGTAAATAACTTATCTACATTAACTGTAGAAAAACCGAACCCTACTTTAATAAAGCAAACGTTAAACTAAAGAAAAAATATTTGTCCTTTTAAAGGATGATCATTTTAGTTAAAAGTAATATTTTTTATTTAAAATTTAAATTAAAATAAACTCTCACTCTCTGTCCCATGATTTTCATTGTCTATCTTTTTTTTTTAGTTAACTCAATCCTAATTACTTTTTTGAGATGAGTTGGCTCTCCCAATATCTCCACAAGTTTCGATTCTTTGAATCGATTTTGAGACTAATCTAGAATGCAATGTGGGTCAAAAATAAAAATATTTAAACCCATTTCAAAAATGACATATGAAATCCCCTTTAAAATAATATAACTTTTATGTCATTTAAATGAAAATAACAAATACCAATCCCTTAAACTAAATAGTAAATGGGTAATACATGTGTAATGTCACATAAAAATGAAAGAAGTTCTTGCAGAAACAAAAAATTGAAAGAGAGAAAAGCTATCATTGGGCCCCACATCAATTTTGGTAACCATTTTTGTTTTCGTGTAACATAACATATATATTACCCATGGTAAAATGGTAAATAAGTGGAGAAAGAGAAACATTAGTTTGGGTTTCCAATCAAAAAACAATAGGTTGAGGCCCACTTTCAGCAACTTTCATTTTCCCTTCTTCGTCGTCCCCTGCCTCTCTTATATACATATCCCCAAAATCAAAACCAGAGTCTGTGTTCTCTTCATCCCTACACACAAACCCAATTGACTCTGAAACCCCTTCTTTATCCATATATAAACCCAATTGAGAGAAGAAGAACAAGAATGGGGGAAGGGAGAGAAGGGGATTGGGAGTGTAGTAGCTGCAACAACAGGAACTATGCTTTCAGATCATTCTGCAATCGATGCAAGCAACCTCGTCTTCTCGTCGATACCAAAACCCCTGCTGATTCCAAGTGGCTCCCTCGTATCGGCGATTGGATCTGCACCGGTTAGCCCCCTCCCACCTCTCTCATCAATTCTCTGTTTTTGTTTTAATTTTTTGGTATAATTCTTTGGATTAGTTCTTCATGCTTATGGATATTGTTTGTGAATTGGGTATTAGGTCATGTTTGTGAAATGGGTGTTTATTTATTTATTTAACAAGAAAAGGGTGGTTTAGTTTTTCATAATCTTGACTTGAGGTATATTTATATTCAATGTTAAGCTGGTATGTGTGAAAAAATGAAGGAATAAAATGGAATTACGAAGTTAGCCTTGAGTCATATCTTCCCAGATGACCCCAATATGGTTCTTTCCTTTTGGCTCATATGTCGAACTCACAATGAGCATTCTTTTGCAAAAGGGATAGATACTAGTTCCTAGCGTGCCTCTGAGACAGCCACATATTCACATGCTCCGTGTGGTTCAGGGCTGTTTACTACGACATAGTGAAAGTTTGTTTGTTGTAATTTCATTAGTATTCCAGCTTTATGTATTTTGTTTTAAAACCTAATTACTCTCAAGGACGGGTATGCTGCTATGCATTGTGCTCTATTTATTTCATACATGTATTGGTTTTCCCATTTGTTGATAATAAAACGACTGTCAACTTAAGCGTGGCATTTGATTTTGGTTTGTGGTCTTCTGTTTCAAATTGAGATGAAGAACTTGATATCAACTAGGTTGAGATGTTTGTGCTTTTTGTATGTGTATTTTGTGTGGGATGGACGGGTTGGTGTGCGTGGGACGTGTTGGTGTGCGTATGCTTGGCTTCCTTTCCCTCTGGCTGCTTTGTGGGGCTGGGTTTGTGTATGCAATGGAACAATAGGTTGCACTAACAACAATTATGCATCAAGAGAGAAGTGCAAGAAGTGCGGACAACCAAAGGAGGTAGCAGCCATGCCGGCTATTGCAATGACTGGAGCATCTTTCCCCACTTATTCACATTATTTTTCCAGGGCTCCAGGAGGACCGGAACAAAAGATGAATATTGGGTTGATTGGTAATGGTGTGCCGCCACAGACACTGCATTTGAACTCCAATTGGCCTGTTACAGGAGCAGATAAGTATGGCGTCCAGCCAGTTTCCATGTGGATACCAGGTGGAAATTATAGTTCTGGACATCCTTATGAAAATCCCACCAGCCAGAACTTATCTGTTCCAAAGGGATGGCGTAATGGGGACTGGCTCTGTAACTGCGGCTTCCATAATTACTCATCACGCTCACAGGTATGCTCTTGAATGCTACTTCTAAATGATGTTGAGCTATACAAGCATTGAAGTATTCATTATTTTTCTGATTCAATGTCGAAATTATTTGCAGTGCAAAAAATGTAATGCTTTTCCACCTGGTATGGTTTCCTTCCTTGGTATAGATTTTAGGTGCAAAATGCATAAGCACTGTCTTCTATCAACAGATACTATGTGCGCACAAGTCTCAGAATATACCCTCTTGTGGTTGCTCTGTTGTCCTATTGTTAATCCCCAATCTTCCTGAGACTCATTGCACTCATATGAATATTTGTGGTTATTTAATATTCAGAATATTTTATATTTATTTTCTTTAGCAATTGATTGTAAACTTCATGCCTATTCGACTTTTTTGGTGTAAAGCACTTGGGACAAAACGGTTAGCTTCTGAAGAGTTGGTTTATGACTGGGACAACAAGAGACTGAATGTAGGACCTGTAAGGATTTTTTGTTAATTTCTAATCCACTGCTGTTATTTTGAAATTTTGTTCTGTATACCTGCGCTAACTTTCTTTCTTCTTTTTCTTTCTTTTTTTTTAATTCCTGCTCTTACAGTCTTACACTCTTACTTATTTTACAGACAAATGATCAGCAGCAAACATATACAAGTTTAGAGGAAGTGGTTGGGACCAGTGCAGATCCAAAACCTGGAGTCTTCCCCTCTTATCCCAGCATAAACTCAAGTACGGCTCCAAGTTTACCAATGCCCACACTGTTTCCGCCTCAAGTTTCTGCACTCCTTGGAAAAGGGTAACTAATTCCTCTACCCTGAGCTTCATATATATTGATTGGTTTTATTATAGTTTCCTAGGCTCACAATTTAAATACTTTTACCCATTTACCTATTAGAGCAAAGCAATGGCGTAGCGGAGATTGGATGTGCACAAATTGCAACAATCATAATTATGCTTCCAGACTGCAGTGCAACAGGTCATTCTCTCTTTCGTATGGTTTTCTCTATGTTTTGAGAAAACAAATTAATGCCCTGCAACTGAAAACAAAATTATGCTAATTATTATGAAGCCATCAAACACGTGCACGTTTGCGGTTACACACTTTCACTGAATGACCAATGCTTATCATTTGCAGGTGTAAAACTCAAAGAATAGCATCCATGCAACCCGTCAATGTCGTGTAATGTTGAATTCAATAGTTAAATTGTTGACGCTTACCCTAGTTTTGTTGAGTTTTGACTTGACCTTCTAGCGTGTATTTTGCCAGCAAAAAGTTGAGACTCTAGACAGGCTCATTATATTTGCATAAGACATATTTATTTATACTCACTGGCATTGTATTTTTTTTTTGTTTCTGAAAGGTGTATGCTTAATAGATTTTGGGTAAGATGTGATTATTCTATTCGCCAATAGGCTATAGCTCATTTGGTCATTCATTCTTCTCCTTAAATTTTGAAATTTGACACCAAATCTCAACCGTTGATTTCTGCCAATCAACGGTTAGCATTTATTGGGAATTAAACTTATTAATTACAATCAATCTCTAATAAATGATAACCGTTGATTGGCAGAAATCAACGGTTGAGATTTGGTGTCAAATTTCAAAATTTGACACCGGTGTCGATGGATCCTGCCCATATATATATATATATATATATATATATATATATATATATATATATATATATTGAAATAGAAATTTCAATAATATTAATATAACCTTTTGGTTCACTAGTATATTGATGGTACTCTTGACTTGATGCCCCTCAGTTCATGTGCTCAAATTTAGTCATTGGTGTGCTGAGTTTCAATGCCATCTGTCAATAACTGCAAACTGGAGAGTTAGCATATCTTACATGAAATTCGTAAACACTAATATAACTTCCATGTTTATGTAACTAGGGCTTTACTAGGTTGTACTCATGTTATACTTCATAAGTACCGGTACTTCATAAGTCATAAAAAGACTCCTTGTGCGTTGGTGCCAGCAGGTACTTTGACACGGGCTAATTTAACAACGTTTCAAGCGTAGCTAAATAAACGTAACAAATCATGTTTCAAATTTAGTGAAAATCAGCCACATTTTGCATGTAACTATATAACCGTAGCTATTTTGACACCGGCTGAAATTTTTGGCACCGGCTAAAAGTATATACTTTGCTGGCTCCGCCTCGACATAAAAAGTACCTCTGTCCCAAGAATTGTTGTTTAAAGGCGCTATCATTCAACTCTTTTAACAAAAATGATTGATTTATGTGCTCCTGGATAATTATACATATAATATTCGTTCAAATTTCACAGAATCGTTGTAAGCACCATGGTAAGAAGGCAAATCGAATTCTTTGTTGAGGAAGCAGGGTAACATAATTCGTGAGCATCTGATCTCATAAGCTAAAAGTTTGACTGATGATGATTCATCAAGTTCAAAACTTGAGATCATGAAGATCCCTTTAATACATCAGAAGGGGAGAGTGGAGGAGAATCCAGCTGGTAAAGATTGAGTGCAGGACCCACAAACCTGAAAATTATCCAAGCACCAATCATGATGAAGATTGAGGCATATGCAAATTTGTTGAGCCAAAAGAGAGCACCCTTTTCTCCCATGTACAGTTCTATTGCCTTCTCAGTTAAAGTCATGTCCTCCCATTTCTTAGGAGTAGATACCTTTTTTGCCTTTGTGGATTGCACACTATTTGAGACAGCTCCATTCTCTCTCTGTTGTCTGTATTGCTTTCTTGACCTTCTCCTGAACCTTACTTCTCCAGCACCAGGTGGTGTTGCAGTTGGTGCTTGAACCGAGTCTGCTTCATCATTGTTTGTGTTACTACTCCTACTACTGCAGCTGATTATGTTGAAACTGAGAGAACCATGACGTTGGGGCAGGAAGATTTGGTTGTGCTTCGTTGATGGTAGTGAACGTCTAGTGAGAATGATGAGGGAAGGTGAGTTTGAAGAGAACGAGGTAGTGCCCATGGCTTCGCAGAATATGGCCGAGGGTAACGTGTGGTTATATTTCGCTTATCCTCTTGGTTTTATCTTTTCTTGGGGTCATGTGACCAGCACGTATTGCCTGTACAAAAGCCCAAAATTAACTTGGTTTGGATTTGACTTGAGAATGGAGATGGGTATTGGACCCGATTATTTATGAAAATTTAATTTTTTTAACAAAATAAATAAATGTATCAGTTAAAAGAAAAAAAAAGAAAGATCCACCATTGATGTGGGTTCTACAAGAAGCCTATAGAAAACTACACTGAAAGGAAAAAGAAGAAAGGAAATTTATTGTGAAATTTAAATCTAAACATATATATTTGACAAGTCTACAATCTAGAACATATACGAGAGTTGTTGGCAAGCCAATTGACCCCAAAGTGAAAAAAAAGTATAACCTTTTTACCTGAAATTTATTTAATTACTTAAAAATACTTCAAAAGGTTAAATATTAAAGAAAGGTTATACTTTCTACCTTTTTTTCTTACTATTTCTTACTATTAAATCTTAACCCTTGATTTCTGAGTAATCTAACAGTTATAATTTATTAGATCACATTTATTAATTAACTATTAATTTTTAATAAATTATAATTGTTAGATTAACGAAAATCAACGGTTAAAATTTAATAGTAAGAAGTAGTAAGAAAAAAAATAATAAATATAACCTCCCCTAAATATTATAATACTATTGTTAGAAAATTTGGTGCTTACGATTAAGCTAGCTGAGTAGTGATTAAAACTAGGCCCAACATAGCCCAAGATAAAATCAAGGTAACCTGGTCCTACATATGCTCCTAGACAAGAAGTCATCCACCATTTGTACCAAGATAGATAGGAAGAAGGAACAATTCACCATATGGAATAGCAATAAACAAGCCCAAAGTGAAAAAAAAAGTATAACCTTTTTACCTGAAATTTATTTAATTACTTAAAAATACTTCAAATGGTTAAATATTAAAGAAAGGTTATACTTTCTACCTTTTTTTCTTACTATTTCTTACTATTAAATCTTAACCCTTGATTTCTGAGTAATCTAACAGTTATAATTTATTAGATCACATTTATTAATTAACTATTAATTTTTAATAAATTATAATTGTTAGATTAACGAAAATCAACGGTTAAAATTTAATAGTAAGAAGTAGTAAGAAAAAAAAAATAAATATAACCTCCCCTAAATATTATAATACTATTGTTAGAAAATTTGGTGCTTACGATTAAGCTAGCTGAGTAGTGATTAAAACTAGGCCCAACATAGCCCAAGATAAAATCAAGGTAACCTGGTCCTACATATGCTCCTAGACAAGAAGTCATCCACCATTTGTACCAAGATAGATAGGAAGAAGGAACAATTCACCATATGGAATAGCAATAAACAAGCCCAAAGTGAAAAAAAAAGTATAACCTTTTTACCTGAAATTTATTTAATTACTTAAAAATACTTCAAAAGGTTAAATATTAAAGAAATGTTATACTTTCTACCTTTTTTTCTTACTATTTCTTACTATTAAATCTTAACCCTTGATTTCTGAGTAATCTAACAGTTATAATTTATTAGATCACATTTATTAATTAACTATTAATTTTTAATAAATTATAATTGTTAGATTAACGAAAATCAACGGTTAAAATTTAATAGTAAGAAGTAGTAAGAAAAAAAAATAATAAATATAACCTCCCCTAAATATTATAATACTATTGTTAGAAAATTTGGTGCTTACGATTAAGCTAGCTGAGTAGTGATTAAAACTAGGCCCAACATAGCCCAAGATAAAATCAAGGTAACCTGGTCCTACATATGCTCCTAGACAAGAAGTCATCCACCATTTGTACCAAGATAGATAGGAAGAAGGAACAATTCACCATATGGAATAGCAATAAACAAGCCCAAAACACAGTCAATAGTTGGACCCTCAATTATGATGGGTCACCGTTTTATGTCATCTTTATTGTTTCCTTTAATCTATAATTTTGACATCAATATAATACCCCAATACTAAGAAATGGCAACAATTTAGTCCTTCAATCGCGCGTGTGCATATTATGCACAGAAGTAATGGTTTCATTGTTATTTTCCATGATTCAGGAATTAAATTGATATCAAGTTAGGAGTTTATTATTTCTTTTATATTGTCATTCAATTATGTGCTGATTAAATCCCTCTCTAGTCTTCTAAAATTCAATTTTGTCATAATTTACAGCTATATACATATATAGAGACATGATCATTTGATACCGGTATCAAATTAGTTTAATACCAAATTTTAACCGTTGATTTCTGTCAATTTGACGGTTATAATTTATTGAGAATTAATAATTAATTAATAAGTGTGACCTAATAAATTATAGGGAAAAGTTCAAAAATCCACCCTATGGTATTGCTTTGAATCATTTATACCCTTATGCTTTGTTTTAGTCACTTAATTTCCTATGATTTTTTTCATCCACATCCATGCTTAACACTGTTAAAAACTTAATTAAGTATACATATTTTACCCTCAAGAAAATAAAGTGACTAAAAAAAGAAAAAAGACCAAATATTATGAAAACTTACAACACTTAATAAAAAACTAAAAGAAAAAATAGAAAAAAAATCAAATGTTACTAAATAAAAAAATAGAAGAAAAATAAGGTCAAATATGTTAAAAATCACAACAGTGATAAAAAAAGCTAAAATTCAAAAAAATAAAAATAGTCCAATGAAAAAAAAAACACTAAAGACGAAAAATAGAAGCAAAAATTAAGATAAAGATAAAATAAAAAAATGAAACAAAAAGAAATCACAATTACGAGCTTTCAAAATGAAACAAAACAGTTGGTAACTTGGCGCTGAGTTAGTGAGGTTAGATATGTGTTCGATTTCCGCTGAATGCATTCTTGGGGAGGGGGCTGAACCTTTAGCCATCACTGTTCCCCCGCACTCCGGATTAGTCCCATAGCCGGCTCAAAGAGTCGAAGCTCGTGGGGATACCGGAGGGAGCCAACTCGTCTCAAAGAGATAATTAGGGTTGGGTAACTCCAAAAAAAATAATAAAAAATATTTGGTTTTATTTTTGTCCTTGATCTATTTATTATTTTTTATTTAGATATGTTTGATCTTTTTTCTATTTCTATTTTTCTCACTTTTAGTCTATTTTATTATTGTTATGGACCTGACAAAGGCCTACATTCTAGAAGACCCAAATAGGACTAACAGCTAAGAGAGAATTAAGGAAACATTTTTTAATTATGCTAATCTTACTACGGCAGCAATAGATCAACAATTGGACCCCCAATGCTCCTGAGAGGCCCAAAAGTCCACTCTTGCCAGGTAACCCATATATAAATAAGGGGTTAAACCAATAAGGTACACACTCTCTAAACCCTTTCTCTTAGCTCGTCATTGTGCACACACCCCCACGCCTTGACTATGTCGTTATGCTATAGTGCACAGTGATCCGCTTATCTTTAGGGTACCTCTCCTATAGGTACTTGAGGGAGGGCAAACAGATCCTATATTAACGTACCAATCTCTGATTGGACATATCGATATATCAAATCGTAACATTGGCGCCGTCTGTGGGGAACGATAAACTTCGATTCCCACCCAAATGTGGTAAAGGCGTAAAAGTTGCTGACCAACCAAATCCTAATACGATGGACGCAAAAGACAAAAATGAAGTTCATCGACAGCTCAAGGCGGACCAGAGTTCGTAATCCGAGATATGAAAGCCAATCTCAACGAGCATGATGAAACCGAGATCAAGGTCGTGACCACCGTTGTCATCGGAATCGTGGCTGAGATCCAGACAAGATCGTGGCCGAGATCGAGGTTAAAAAGAAAGGGGCAAATCAAGCAAAGAGCAAAAGCTAAGTCTCCTTCCTATTAAATTCTAAATTTGCATGAAAAAGGAAAAAAGGATCCACCTTTTTGATATTTCATATTGATATCTGATAAAAGGATTTACCTTTTTAATATTTTATATCGATATCTGATAAAATTGATCAAAGATTTGTCTTGATTGGCATAATGTATTTAATACAGCCTTTGATTAAAACGTGATTAAATTGAATGCTTTGGGAGTAATCTGTGTACAAATAAAAGATTTGTCTTGATTGGCATAATATATTTAATACAACCTTTTGATAAAACCTGATTAAATTGAATGCTTTGGGAGTAATCTGTGGACAAATCAAAGATTTGTCTTGATTAGCATAATGTATTTAATACAGCCTTATACACGTGACTTTATGATAGATGCTCAATCAAATCCGATATCATGAAATACGGTCAACTAATATTAATTATCGATTGATGCTGATCAACTATTACTTGTTGATTATAATTATTATCTGATTACACACGGATAATTACTGATTATTGATTGAAGCAAAATTATTGCTAATAGCCTACTTCATGCTTTACTATGTTGCATTTATTTTTACAAAGAATAACCAAATAGGTGGTGTGGAGATCCCCTCTAAAAAAAGGAAGGAGATCCAGATCCACTCAAATAAAGAAGGAAATCCACCTAGATGAATGCAAGACTTGGGCGAAAGAAGCCAAGCTGAGAGAAGAGCCGAGGCACAAGAAGCTAGGCTCGAAAAAATGAAAAGACCACGGCAAATGAAGCCGGGTTCAGATAAAATGGCACCGCAAAAGAAGTGGGGCCCAAATTAAAAATCCATGCAAGAAGAAGAAGCAATGCAATTCAAAGAGGCAAAATGTGTCTCCTTAAATATAAGGCTTCAACAAAAGATGCCAAGTCAGAATGAAGACCGGCCCTCCGGGATATAAATGGTTTACTAAATGGAGCCAATCCATCATAAAGGGTGAAGACAGATGTAGAGAGACCCAGTCCGAGATAAAAGTTGAAGAAAGAAAGAAATAAAGCAATTCAACCACAGAGCCGAGTTCAAATACTCAAAATATAAATTGAGAAAGAACCCGACCAAGGGCCCTGGTATCTGCAAGGCCAACCAACCAACATTCAAACAGAAGTGATGGCTAGCAAATACAAAGTTGACCAGTAGAAAATTATAGGCCAGGTGAACAAA